GTTGCAAGCTCATCTGGGGACACCAAGTGCACACCGTGATTTAAATCACATCCCTGTTTGCACTCCTAATTTTTTCCCCTAATTCCTCCTTCTTTTTTTTTTTTTTGGCCACAATTTTGTGGCTGAGAGAAAAGAAAGTCTGTTTATGGGGTATGTATTTGCCATCCTGTAGCTGAAGCACTGCAGGGGATAAGAAGCCAGGAAGAAAAGTAACTTTTTAGCACTTTTTCTCCTTTTTGTGTTAAGCTGCTGTATCACCGTCAGTCCCTGGTTGGTACCTTGCTTCATCTAGCTAGTAACAACCCTAGCATTATTATCAAGGGTTGTTTCATTCCTTGCTTCCATCCTGGCCAGGAGAAGGAGGATGAGCACTGAGGGAATAGCATGGGTTGCCTCACACCTCAAGCATGAGCATGACGTGACGAAGCCGAGCCTGAGCCTCCTGCTGCGGCAGCTCCAGGCCAATTCTCTGAAGCAGCTGTGCTTTAGATGGGTGTTTTGCCTTTCCTGCTCTTTTCGCAGCGGCCAACCTGTGAAATAGCTGCTTCATTCACACAAACATCTTTAAAACGTGACGTTAATCAAAGTGGTTTAAAGAAACCCGGCCCAGCTCCATTATTTATTGATGTTCACAGCTGTCACTGTCTCGGGTACTACTTTGTGCGTAGCTTCATAGGCACTTAATTCCTTTTCCTAAGACAAAGTGATCTTTTTTTATACTAATAGCATGACACACTTCCCCAGCGTGTGCCTGTCCAAGCTAGTTGTCCTTGTTAGGCTTTAGGACATAATGTTAGCTTCTTGGTAAATCATCTCTTTCTCTCTCTTTTTTTTTTTTTGTCAGTGCTTTCATATCCTTATATTCATTTCCAATGACTGTCATCAAGATTGTCTTAATTGAAAAAACATTTGCTGTAACTTTAGCAGCTGTTCTTCTGCATTATAAAATCATGGTAATTGTTTGTGTTCGTTCAATGCAAGGTCGCTGTAATGGAAAGTAAATGGTCTCTGTTAATAGTTAGTATTCTCCCTGCTACAGTATCCTGTTGCCCGTGAGCTGGAATACAAAGTGTGCTACTTAGTGCATGAAATGAAAGGCAAAAACCACTTTTGAACTCTTATTTGACTTTTTCTTAGAACTTATTTTTCTGAAACTGCATATCGTATCTTTGACTTTCTATCTATTTGACCAATTGAATTTGTTACTTAATTGCAAGTTAATGGAGTAAGTTTATTTGTATAGCACTCAGGAAGAGCCTGGGTGATTTACAGAAACATGACATAAACAAATATTTTCCCATCACTACAGTATATACCATTAAGGGGGAATTCTGTAGGCTTTCAGATGTGTACACCTCTGTCGTGGTTTGGGCTGGACTGTCCTCAAACCAGGACAACCTCCGTCACTTTCAGAGCAGCTTTTTGAGGTTTACAAGTCAGAACTGTCATTTCCATTAGATCTTAGAATTTAAATTGGCATCTACTAGATGCTATATTCTGCCTGTCCTTTTGCTTTGCCATTTCCTCTTACTACTTTCCAAATATGTGTGTACATATACATACACCTTGTTTTATAAGTATTATCTGTGATCTCAGCAGAGGTTTTGTCGTTGGTATTCAGCTGGCAGTTTCTGGTGTGCACTCATGAGACAGGTTATACGTTGGGGAAAACAAAAGGTAATGCTCAAACTGCTTTTCTCATGGTAGTGTGGAAGTGTGAGCTGTGTGCCTGTGGGTGTATTTGCAAAATATATGACTAAAGCAAGCTGTAGTGACAAGGAAATGTAAGGGTGTATTTATATTCTGAAGTACAAAGTTACTGTGCTTACTTGCTTATGGTCTAGTCGTCTTAATGCATTTTAGTAAGCGATGAACAATGATGTAATTCGACTAGCATATTTTAACTATCAAATTTAATTTGAAGGCTTCTGTTTGTTTTATGGAAACTTTTGCATCTACTGTATTGAGTAAAATTTGAAGTCGTGATCTTTTAAATGGCTGCTAGTCTTAGATGCATATTTTTGCCTTCACCTCAAGTGAATCTAGGTTTCTGGAAATTATACATCTGGAGATTGTCTCTGTTCAGAGGCACGTGATTCCCCTTTTCTGGCTGTTGTTGTTTATGGAAGTGGTTTTATTCTGCCTGCAGAGGTGTGGCTTCTGCTGCCCCTCTACTCCACTCTCGTGAGACCTCACCGGGAGTACTGTGTCCAGCTCTGGAGTCCTCAACATAAGAAAGACGTGGACCTGCTGGAACATGTCCAGAGGAGAGCCACGAGGATGATCC